CAAAATCTGGGCCAGATTTTCAACGGTCTCAACTCAGAAGGAGGGGCTGGATCTTCAAAGTCTTTGATGAACAATCTAGCCATCAATGTTTCCTCAGCATTTCCTCAGCAATCTACTGGATGCTGGGCTCCACTGAACAGCTTCTGCTTTGTTCCCTTCCCTGCTTCTTCTAACATATTCTCTCCTGTGCTTTTTACCCAACAACAGTTCCTTGTTTGTCCTTCGAAGAACTACTGTCGTTCTGATGAAGAGGTCAGAGGATTTCCAGCCCATATTCAATTCACTCTTTCCCCCCAAATAGGAAACATTTAGATCTCTACCCAGACTTCATTATTCTTCCAATTAAGTTCCATAACAGTTTTACTCCTGAAATCTGGTAATCTTGCAATTCTGGTTTTGCAATCCTAAATTCAAGTGTTTCATTCCTTTGTTACAGAGCATTTTGCACCATATAAGGAGTAAAGAAAATAACAAAATCATAATAACCAAAGCAATCCTTTGTGTGATATCTTAACCTCCTTAAAGCGTAGTGTGGACATGATATCCAGACCGTGCTTGAAGCTCCAGGTTTGCACTTTGGAGAGAAAAAGAGGGCAGAAAACTCTGCTCCTTTACTGCAGCTGCTGACCCTTTTCTTCCAAAAAATCCCTGAAGCCATTTCAGGAGCTACTCACTTATGTGTACTTAGTTGACTGATCACTGGCCCAGAGCTATTTAGAGGTGAATTGTGTTTCTCAGACAGATCTCAAGTCAGCAAATCAGAGTACTTATCAGCTGAGCCATTTCTGCTAGCTTTGCATTAAGCATCATGGCTGGAGGGGTGTATGGCAGAATTTAGTCCAAGAAGGAGGGCAAAAACTCAGCATCAATCAACAGCAAACTCTCTGCAACTGGGTCAACAAAGCAGGCGGAGTTCAAATGAGAACATGTCATAGCTGCATGCAAGAGGAACTGGCTCTCCACATAGCCTTGGAAGCAGGAGAGTCTTCACCGGCATGAGGCTGACCTGAGGTGGCACTCACACAACCTGATGGATAACTACATTTGAGCACAGCATGGCAGGAAGAGGACAGGCAAGCCAAACTTTTCTCACAACCACAGCGTACATCCCAAAATTGCAACCTGCATCATACAAACTGCAAATTTTATACAGAAAACTGGAGGGAGGAAGAATAGTAACATGACTGCTCAGGACCAGGAGAGCAGAAAACGTGGGTATTCAAGAGTATATTCAAGAGCTGATCTCCTTTCCAAACACATTTCCTTTTCCTTATTTGAATGTGTAATCAAACAATGGCTACAAAATGACTTCAGTGGTGTTTCTGCCTCAGGGTTTCTGCCTGCTCAGAGGTCCACAGACCTGACGCTGTAAAGGCGCAATACAAAGAGATCACAGAGTGTTCCCTGCAACAACCAGCTCATTTTCCTGTTTGATTGGAATTCCTAAAATTAATAATCTCACCCCACCTTTTGAAAAAATTACTAAACTGCCTCTACAGACAGACCCCACCTGAAAATAACGCTCCACAGCAGAAGCTTGCACCTCTCTAAAATTCAGATTCAGGGTTTTGTTCAGACACATTCTACAGATATGGTGGTTGTCAGTGATAAAACTGCAGTGCTGGCTCTCGTGATATCTCTCCCCAGAGCCTGGGGGCAACTTGAGGTAAAAATCCAAGCTCATTTTAAAATTACAGGGAGGTTACAAAGATTTCAAAACCATGCAAAATCCACCAGCAAGCACAGCCAAGCTACCCCCCTGCAAAGCATCCTTCAAAACAAACAGCATGTTCAAAGGGCTTGTAAGATCTGCTCGCATTGGACATCTTCCTAATAGTCTCCAGCTACAGTTGGGAACAGCAGCACTGAAGCACAACAGGAAAACACACACGCACAGCAAGGTGCCTGCAACCAAGTCCAGCCTGTAAATTTGGGCAGCTGACATTACAGATGTCTTCCAGTTGCCCTGTTGCTAAGACTGGCTGTTCTGAAAAGACAGATTGAGACAAGCCAGTGTGCACACACAAAAAACATTGTTCACACACCTAGAAATACATTGGGTCAACAAAGCACATCAAGACATGGGGCTGAGTTACTGGTCACCATTTAAGAGATTAAATTGGTGCCATGTCATAAACAAACAGTAAAGGAGATTGCAGAAAACTTTTTCCCTTTCCGTCTGCTTTTTCCTCTGCCCCATTTCTGAGCCTTAGTACCCAAGGTTTTAAAGCAACACAGCAGACAATATCACTGGAGGAGATCAACGCCGGGATCAATTTTCTCTCAATACATGATCGACTGTTCCAGGGAGAAGTGAGAAGGCAGGGTGAAGTCAAGAGCTCCATGAGAAAGCATTGGTGAAGTCAAGAGCTCTATGTCAGCAAGCACAAACCCACATCAGCCCCCAGGGTGTAAAAACCTGCAAAGTTTCCTGATAACATAAGGCAGAGCCAAAGAAAACAAACAATGTTGTGGTATTCCTGCCTGGGAGGTGCAAATTCTCCATCACCTCCAAGCTTCTTGAGCCCCCATCAAAACGACTGCATTATAGAAACTGCTGAAACCAGGGCTTTTCTGGGAGGCCATTCAAGAAGTCACAGCGTGACAAAAAAGTAAGCAGGGGGTGTTGTAGGGGTGGGAGCCCTTCCTTCCATGGTGGCTGTATATCGGCATGTATTAAACATAGACACAACAATAAGCAATAAATCACAGCCCAGGAGAAGTGCCAGGTGGAATGCACTGGAGGAAATTAAAACATCCTTCTCGATGCAGTTCAGTATTGAAAGAAATGCGAAGAAGGCCAAGTTGACTTATCACCTACATAGCCAGGATGCTAAGGGGAAAAGGGTTCCAACATTTGCAGCTGGAAAATTTGCAGTTAATTAATTTCCTACCAAAATAAAAGCCAAGCTTAAAAAATAATATCACAAACAACCTTTTAAACAAATAAATAAATGATGGCCTTTCTTGCTTTCCTCAGTTTTCTTCTTTTTTTCCCCACCTTCTTTTTCAAATGCAGTTTCTTTCCACATGATTCAGCCACAGGGCAAAGGATCCATTGCAATGTACATTATGTGGCCAGCACCAGAATTCAACAAATTCTGACCTCCCACATTGCTTAACATATGCACTCACCATATCGACAGGAGACCTTATCTCGTGTACTTTAGTATTGCCCAGTGGCTGCCTTAAATTGCTTAAAAGTCTCATGAAACTAGTCAGTAGAGGCAGAGGCTGAGTCTCCATCCCCAAAACAGCCGGGCCACTTCCTTATTTCACTGAAAAATGCCCCTAGCAAGTTTGTTTTAGAAAAACAGCATTGGTACACAAGTTTCCCAGTAATTTCAGCCAGGACTCTGTGCCATGCAATGCATAAAGGCTGCTTATGGCCACCAGCAGACAAGGAAACCTCTTTGGAGCTGGGTTTTTGTTTTGCTGTGATAAGCTTATACTAGCAGGGGACTGCCCTGCAGCACTCAAGTCCTAAATAGATGGTGCTCCTGTGAGGTATCCTCAGCTGCAGCTGCTTTTTCCCTGCTTGTCCCATTTTTAGGCAGTTGAGGAAACCTCCACTGTTTTGAGTTTTAAAGGAAGTGTCAGGCAAAGTACTTATGCAGGCTGAAACTGGGACATGATTTATAAATTACTGGAAAGCCAAACTCAAGATTAGGAAAAAAAAAAGAAAAGAAAGGACTCACTTCTTTTGAAACTGGATGTGCATAACCACATAAATATTCTCTAATTGACACTCTCCAGGGTAGCCTGAAGAAGACAGCTGTATGTCCTGCCTTTTTTTAATCTCCACTTTTAAGGGCTGTGAGGACAGGATGGCATTTTCCAGCTGTGGTTCTCTTTCTCTTACTAAACGCTTTTGTGTCAGCCTGTCTATATAAGCAACTAAACCTTTACACATTAAACAATTCTGTGTCAAACTTGCAGTAATGACCAAGTTATATTTTCTGAGAGGGACAATTAAGATATTCACTGAAAATAGAAAGAGATGGCATTTTTATACTCAGATAAACATCAACTTAGTACAAGCTGACAGATAACTCTGAAAATAAAATGATGGCGACATTTTCTATGCCAGGGTTTTCTTTCTTGGCTAGAGAACCGGGACATCCTGCAGTAGGCCACGAAAGAGGGAAACCATTTAGATGTTGCTAACAAAACAGAGGGCATCAGTTTCAGACAAAACTCACACTGAGGAAAGCAAAAGCAAGAGAGGAGAAGGAGGAGTATTGTTATGAGATGTGCACAAGCAATTACCTGCAGCAGACCACACTACAAACTCAGGGATATTATTTGATTTGTCTCAATCAGTTGGTATTGCACTCTTTCATCTGTTTAAATGGAGGAACAGCATTTGGATGCAGAAACCTACTACACACATTTCTGGGTGGAAAACTGCTCTGGAGCCAATGCTGACAATTTAAAAAATGTTTTTTTTCCTACTCCCTTTGAAAGGTACAATCAAGGCACAGAATCTACCCAGGTGTAAGAGGTGTCACACATACTTGACATGAGCTATTGGTTTCCAAAAACATTAACAAGTTGCCACACAGCTCAGACCTGCCTCATCAGACATTTGAAAGGTGATCACTCGGATAAGCCAGGATAGGCTGGCTGCAACCCAAATTCAGAAACCTGCAGCCATACTGCCAGTAAGAACCACCAGCAAAACACATGGATTTAATAAAAGCAACAGTGAAATGTCAAGTTAAAAAAAAAAAAAAAAGAAGAAGTATTGCAAGCCCTTCTTGGGTAAATGTACAATTAATTTCTGATGAGGGCTAATTAATTTTTACCAGAAAAAAAATAGTGCTCATTCTCATTGCTCCTGTCTTGATTGTATCTATCAGAAAATGTACTTTTAATAGTGCCTTTTGTCTTGTAGTAATGAAAAAAAGCCTCCTAACTGAATCAGACTGGAAGGTGTTTCCCTGGTGCCTTTCTTTTTAACCTGAAGTGGAATATATCAGAGCTGTAAATTTGCTTACCCTTCTGTTCTGTGCATGGAGCATCTCTCCAGAGGAATTTTTAGCACTCCATTATTTAAGCCCACAAAGAGTGACCTGTCGCTGTGCAGGATTTGAAGACTCTTGATTGCTTCCTGTTGTCCATCAGGGAGGATCTGCATTTCCTCTAAATAACAACTCCTCAGGCTCCTGTTAGTGGTAGAAAGGGCCTTCAAGATGGTGCCATGCTCTAACAGAACAAGAAACAAGGCACAAGTAAACCTTGGAGGCATTGACTTCATTTCATACTTGCCTAAAGAGTAAAATATCAATGTCATCTTTACACACCTGCTTTAAACTTAGTTTTGGTCACCCCCTCCCATTGGTAGAGAGAGTTCCTACATTCTTACAATCCCTGCAGTTCTCAGACATTACAAAAACTGCCTGTGTGTTTTAACGGGAACCCAGAAAAATGTGAACCATCTGGAAAGTGTTGTAGCACGAAGGAAGAAAAGAGTCTGGTCCCACCACCAGTGAGTTATACAACAAGGTGACCTGAGACAGCAGGGATCATTTCTGGTGGCTTGAGTTTGTATTTCTTTGGGTTTACAGAGCAGATCAGTGTGATTTGATGCCATGACAAATGACAACAGAGGCAGAAGCCCTGCTGGAAATCAGAGAGGCCTCGGTAATGACTGCATGGGTCATGGATCTAATTGAGCCTCTTCCTGGAAGAAGCCATCTTGCCAGCTTGACAAGATGTTATGGCATAAACAGTGCATACAGCAAAACATATATGTTTGTTTTCACAGTGCTCTTACCTAAACAATTCAAAGATCTGACAAACTGTGGGAGATTTATGCTGGGGAAAAGGGGGTAGCCACATTATTTTTTGTTAAAACCCCAAAGAGGTCTGTCAGCCTCAATTGTTCCTGAAGCTTAATCTTTCTATCCCGGTCACTTCTATATTGTTGCCAATGCTCAGCAATTTATAGTGCTGGGGTTGGCTGCCATGAGATGCTTCTCCTTCACTTGGGAGGGCCTTAAGTGTGCAACAAGACTGAGGCCCAATGGGCTCATTTTGTTTCAAGACTAGGTTTGTGTTCAGGGCTGCCCCTAGGGAGGACTGTCTCCTCTGCAGCATTTTACTGGTTTAAATATTTCAGGTCCTGCAGAGTTTACTCTTCAGTCACCTCTAACCAGGGCCAGAAAGGAAACACAAATAAGAAGACAAGGTTATGGCAGTGGACCTTTCTACACAAATGATATGAGGCAGAAAGTACCCTGGCTTTCTCTTAGGCTTTGTAGGTGGGACTCCTCACTTAAAATATCAAGATATCAAAATAGCAGAACCATGCTGTATTTTCATTTAAGTACATTCTTATCATAATCAATGGCCATAGAGGCTCCCACAGTGAGAATGTTACTAGAACACATCCAAGATGATCACTTTAGAAGTAAGTGGTGGTAAAAGTTAGATAAATTATGACAGAGTCCTGGAAGGTGGTAACATGATTATGAGGCAATGACTCTGCATTCAGATGTGAGATTAAAGTAACACTTAGGGAGGCAATCCATCTTACTCTAAAATCAAAGGTTCTGCAATAGAGGATAACAACTTTATACCCATGAGGCTGGCCATATGCTCTGATTAATCAAACTATTTAATTTAACCTCTATCATTAGTATGAATATGGGCTAAGACAACCATTTATAACACTTTGTCCTTCTCCAGCATCTTCCCTTTATCCAAGATATCTACACTTTTCAGAAGAGGCAATCCTGTTAATTAGAGGATGGAGGTAGAAATAAAGAGACTAAATCATTTAGTTAATTCTACCACAGACTCTCTATGCTACCACAAAAAAAACCCTGCCTCAGCTTCCCCATCTGCATTACATTTCAATGCATTCCCATTCCTGAAAGCACTGGGAGTCATACACCAGTAGGCACATGGAAGTGCAAAGAATGACATAATTAAAACCTTGGGCAAGCCTGGATTTTAGTATTATTATTGCTTATTTAGAGATGAGTATGTCATAGCACAGAGAGGCAACCTACATGCACATAAGCACAGAGCAGCAACCTTTGCTCTTCTCCATTGTAATGTATTAACCTGACTAGCTGAAACATGCTTTTACATAAGGGAGGAAAACGCTATTTTTGCTTTTAACCACAATGTAGGTCTGTTCACTTGGGACTGTGCCTCAAGTCCTCCATCCTGCTTTTAAATTTACTTATGCAAACTAACTTCCACGCAATTTTGTGTTGAAATGATATCAAATGACAACTGTGTAATGGTGTCAAAACTGGGCTCCCAGGGTTGCTAGGTCTACGAGAGGGAGGGAGCTTTCTTAAGCCCTGATGCTCTTACCTGTTCCAATATACATCACATGGTAGAGAGTATCCTTCCCCTGAACAATATCAACCACGAGTCTGGAAAATCGAATGCTGTCCTGAGTCACGTATGGATCTACAGTCACTGGCTGCACGACATCATTCATCAGGAATAAGCGCTGTGCATCCTGCAGAACTCTCTCTGTCAGGTTCTCGTTAGGACTCTCATCATTCAGCGTCCCACACTAAACATAGAAGATTGAACTTCAGCACCTGCATTTTCTCCCCGCTTCAGCATCCCAAGACCAAACCCTGAAATTCTTCTGGAACGCCCCCCATGTCCTGTTGATTTACTGGGAAGGTGGGTCTGTGTGAGGGTCACAGAATCAGGCTCTTAGCCTTACCACAGGTCCTTAGCTTAGCTTTAGCCTGTAGCCTACTCTTTAAAAAAGTTTCTCACAGCTAGTCCACAGACCAGCAATGTGGTGTTTCACTCCCCTGGGATACCCTGCAGCCAGCAAACCAGAAGGGCAAAAGGCATTAACGAACCAAGGAGAAAAAGAATTAAAATTAGCTGTAGAAAGATTTAAAGACAGCAGTGGAAAGTTTTCATGGTGATGAAGCCTTTAAGTATTTCAAATAATCTTCAGGGTCTACCTGGCACCTGAGTCTGTACAATGCACAAAACCTGGAGGTTAAAACCCCTGAAAAATGGGTTGGTTTTGTGTCAAAGAAATCAACTCACCACGATGATTTTCTCTGATGTGCTGCCATTTGAATAGACCCCTCTGGTTTAATCTGAAGCAAGGCAGGTGAGCCACTAGCTCCCACCTTCCCACATGCAGCTCTTCTATGCTCATAGCAAATGGCAGATGAAGCCATGTCCATACATCTTTGAGCACCAAGAAGTGTACTGAAATAGGACTCGGTGCCCTTGTCCATCCACAACAGGGAAGAAGTAGAGAGCTCATCTCGTGTCTTTTAAATAGCATCATAAGTCTTATCAGGTGGATAGTGCATTTTAAAACCTGGGTTTCTACCTCACACTTATCTCTAGAATTCAGCATTTTCAAAAGCCGATGCAAGATTAAACTCTCCATGCAGTTTTGTGATCCATGTCAGTAGCCAGGGCTGGATCTTCACTCTTCCCCACCATGCCCTGCATGATGGGCAGACAATTCTTTACTCCAGAAGAAAGATGGGTGACTGGTTATTTATCTTGCTCTAGGCCGTGGGAATCAGTGCTACAATTAGCAATCCTGCCGAATCCCATACTCAGTCCATGGAGAGCTTCACTTCTCACTAAGCGATGCTCATGCTCGAGTAATTTCATTAGACAAAACCCCCACAGATTTCTTTTTCTCCATTTTGGGTTCAGGTGTTTTGGCTTTCCATGGAAGAGAAGTTAGTATGCAGCATATTAGGATGTTAATTTACAGCACTCCAGCTACAGTGTACAAATATCCCATGTGCATACTCTTGATATGCATCGAAGCAGCTCTGCAGGGCGGCTACCTTTCTCGGGTGCACCATCCAAAACTTCTCTTACCAGTGTGCTAAAATGAGTTGACAGGAATTCAGCTCACATTTACAGAATAAATATGGATCCTAATGGCTGGTGTACTAAGCCTACAATATTTTGGAGCTTGTGTTAACCAGGTGAACAGGGTGATACTAATTCCTATCACTTATGAACATGGTCACTTTTTTATCACTTTAAACATCTTCCCGAGTAGCCAGACTATGGAGACATCATAGAATCATAGAATCATAGAATAGTTAGGGTTGGAAAGGACCTTAAGATCATCTAGTTCCAACCCCCCTGCCGTGGGCAGGGACACCTTATGGTAGGTTTTAATGTTTTTTTCTATTGCAATGGCTCTTTTTAGCTCATGACTCATCCCACATTCTTAAGAATTTTTATCTCTCTCTTCTGCTGTATCCAGTACTTCTGGTTTACACTACTGTCTTGCTTTGGATGCTCTTCTCCCCACTCACTCTCGTTTCTAGAGCGTCACTGAATGTCACTGTTGGCTTTTTTTTCCGTTCTCATCAAGTCACAGATAATTCTTTTGGTCTATTGGCAGCCTGTGTGCTGACACCACATCCTCTGGTTTGGTTTTATTTTGTTCTAATATCCTGATTATCTGCATAGCCCTGATCCTCTATAGCCTTTGGTATTTCTCCTTCCTCTTTGAAAGAAAAAAAAACAAAACAACCTTGGCATTCTTCCCTCATCTTCCTTTGTGAACACTGAGGCAAAAAAAATAATTTAATTTTTTTTCAATATCTGCCTCTTCTGTCACTAAATTACCCTTGTCATCTCCTGAAGGCCCTTCGCTGACCTCTTGTTCCTCCTGTACTTGAAAAACATCTTAATCTCTTCTTGCAATCTTCCTTTTGTCTGCCACATACCTCCTTTTCCTTTCCTTATTTTCCTCTGAACATTTTCTTTCATGTTGCTGCTGCAATCTTTGCACTCCACATTTTATCTGATAGTTTTTGCGACATGGAAATGCTTTCCAAAGTCCTTTTCTGTTCCTCATGGGTTAGCCCCGCAAGGGACAGAAAGACCTTGATTCTCAGTTCTTAGTAAACGTTAATATTCCCTTTAAAATAAGAATTAAAAAAAATAATAATTATGAAAATACATTAAAAATAAAAATGAAAGGAAAAAGCCTGGCCATGTTTGGCATGGCTGGGCCTTCAGCGAAGCTTTGTTTCTTGGTTTTGAGTGCACCAAGCTGAGGGGTGATCAAGAGCCCAAACCTGTTCCACCTTATACAGGCAGAAGCCCCCCCCTCAGGTGCCATGAGGGTATTCAGGGGAAGAAATCAGGTTCCTCAGCAGGAACCCAAGCATGTCCCTGCTTGCACTGTGGACCTGTCTCCCATCTGCTCTTGCTGTGATTTCGGGTGACTGCAGAGTCCTTTTTGGAAGGTCTCTGGCGTCAGCAGCTTGAAGGCAGATGGCATTTGCAGGCAGCCTCAGCACCTTCGCCATAATAAAGGAGAGCCAGATTCACACGATCAGGATGAAAGGATTCACCATGGGGAAGTGAGGACAGAAAGACGAGTTCATCTTCCCTAGGATTTCCAAAGTGGGAAGGAACTCAGCTGTAAAATCAGCTCATGCTTCAGAAGACTTGGTTTCACCGTGGCTGTCACACGCATAGTGTGCACCTCACTGCCTGAATCTGTACATAAAGTGACTGAAGTTGCTCTATAATTTTCAGATGGGCCTTAACTGATAATCCTGGAAAGCTGCTCATTCATCAAACTAAAGATTTTTAAGGTGAGACAGAACACCTATGACCATCCTCATGTGTCCTTTTCCACCAGTTACTGCTGCAACATGTCCAAAACTTCTGGCTGAGCTACTCTCTCTTGGAAAGACATCCATCTTGCACTGAAACACTGTTAGCCTTAGGGGCCCTATCAAGTGATGGAAAATTCATCACATCAAAACACAGTCACAGTGTTTAATTACCTTTCTTGTTTAAAAATATAGGTTGTCTCCATTCTAGTTTGTCTTTGTCCAGCTTCAGCTTTCAATCCTTACCAGTTTTGGTGAGGTCATGTCTCTATGTACTTTTGTGAGGATCACATTCTCAGAGTTCAAGTGTCAGTGATGAGTGTAACAGAGATTTAAATTATTCAGTATTATAAAAAGTCTGAACATTCTTATTATTGGTAAAGCCATTCCATTTTTGCCACAAATCCCAGGGTCCCAATAACATGTGGCAAGGCTTTCCAGGGACTAAAACACTCATAAGTGTGGAGAAATTCAATTTATCTGCACCATAGGTCTACCTGGAAAAATGTTCACAAATGAACCCATTGGAGTGACAGAACACAAAAGGGACTGAAGTAAGGTGAAGGGCAGCAATACCTGGAAATTTGGGATGGGGTTTAACGTTGGCAGCCAGGCTGATCTTGGGTTTTCTTGGTAACGGAAAGGCCCATTAAATGCCTGAGTAATGGCACTCAAATTGAAGGCACACACTGCTGAGGCAGCTATGCTGTTTCTAGAAAAGGGGAGAAAAAAAAAAATCAATTTAATCATTAGAACATTGACATTTTCATCATAAGAAACATCAAGCGCCACTCAAATAAAATACATGTAAATTGCTAGGTAGATGTACAGGGATACCAATCTCATAGGGAGCAAAAATAAATAAATTGTAAAATGCAGAGGGGTTACATGACAATTTTGAGAATGAATTTTAAGCTTGGTTTTAAAATGTCTGTGATTTAAGAGCCACGGAAGCAGTTCAGACAAGAAAGGTGAATACAGTTTAATTTGCATGGATTATTTGTGTTTGTTGTATTTACTTTTTTTTTAACAACTCATCTATCTTTATTGATTACAAACAACCTCATTTTTAATTTCTTGGTGTTTCACAAGGTGAAATTTTGTTTCGTGCTCCAGAAGTCTTCAGCTATAAAATATATCCCCTGATATTTTATATATATTTACATATATATATGAGATACATAAATAAAATATGCACACGCATGAAGGGGAAGGGAAAGGGTGACACTGTGAACCAGGCTGGTTGTTATAGCAGCTCAGCATGCAAAATGGCCTTGCTAATACGTGTTTTCAATGATCACAGTTCACTTCTTTGTGTTCCCAGCTGGGAATAGCATCTGTCTCAGGCACACGATTCACCATGCATGCACCAGCCAGGGGAGGCATGGCTACAGAAATGCTGCTGCAGAAAGGACTCTTTGGAACCGAATTTGTTTTAAGGATGCTCTGCTGCCCAGTCAGACTCACACACATTTTAGCTGGCCTTTGCTGTTCCATTTCAGTCATGGAGACTCATTTTTGGAAGATCCTGAGCATGCTCAGCTCCTTTTGCCTCAAGAGGGTCGGAGGGCACTTCCCAGATAGTGAGAGTACCTCAAGGAAGCTGGCCCAAACAGAGACCTGTGCTAAGTGGTAACCCAAAATTGAAAACTGCTCCCTGCCCTCCCCTTCCCCCTGCTTTTCTTTTTTTTTTTTTTTTTAGAAAAAAAGAACAACATTCATAAAAAAAGATATCAGAATAAAACTAAAAATAGGGCTAGCACAAGAGACTGACTTGTCACAGTGCCTTTTTAAATAACCCAAGCTTTGCTGTATGTATCTTTCTGCTAATTAAAGCAATTTGAATTCTCTGAAAAGAACACATTTTTTAAACTCAACCAATAATTACACTCTCTTGCACAAAAAAAAAAAAGCCTTGCTCCACAATCTCAGGCTGGCAAGCAGAAGAACAGATTCTTTCACAGCATATTTCTTCCAAGCAGTACAACATCAGGAAGAGCTTCCTACTTTGTCTTCCCATTCTCCGCCCCTCCCCTGTCCCTTACATCCCTGGAGTGATGGTATAGCTCACTTTGAACATGTCAAAGCAACACCAGGCAAACCTTTCTCCACTTTTGTCTGAACACCGCTGACGCAGTGCATGCTCACAGACGGCAGCTCTTAAGGCAAAGCTAATGATGGATAACAAGTAAATGCCTTGAGGCACATATGGGAAAAAAAAGGGAGAATGAGAAATAAAACAAAAAAGGTAGAGAAAGAATATAACCCCACTAGTCTAACAAAAATATTTCTTTTATTTATATTTTTAGGGCCTTGATAAGGACTCCGTAATTTAGCCCTTTCCCTTTGCTATACTGGAGAAAGGAAAGAGGTTTTCCATTAAATCTGTGGCCTGTTTTCCTTTCCATCTGTGGCCTGGCATATTTCCCATCCCTCACTATGAAAAGCTGGATCCCAGTCTCAAGCCAGTGACATCAACTTTTGCAGCTGGCTCCTGTTGTCCTGGCGAGAGGTGCAATCTCCTTTATTCCCACCTCCTACATGCTGTGATTAACTAGGTGGTTTAAAGAGTAAGTTAAGTTCAAGGAGATTTTAACGTTGTCTTTGCTACCTCCCAGAAAATTTTTAATAAAAACATCTTAAATATTTCATCAGCAGCTTCCCCAAAAAGCTCTCTTTCCCACTGATGCAGTTGGGTATAACATAACATGAAACAGTAAGTCTATATGTGGGTGTTACCATAACCACTAATACCCCCTTGTTATAAGATGACCCTAAATACATTAATTAATTTTCCAAAATAAGAATACCTTTAAACAAGCAAACAAACAAGTCATAGTTTTGCAATGCATTGGTGTTTGATTATAAAGAAACTTGGACTGGAGCATACAGCAACCCTCTTTGGTATGCAGAGCTCATGCAGCAGAATGTAAGTCCCAGTGGAAGTTAAAAGAATAATTACCATTATTTCTCCAGTCAGATGACAAATTGGAACATTTTCTCTTTGAACTCTCAAAAGAACATCATGTTGTAGACCCAAAATGCTCCTTGATCTAACTTCAGCTATTATCAATAACTTATTTCTTCAATTAAACAAATGTTACATATTATATTGTCCTCAGAAGATACTAGAGAGAATGTGCATCCCTAATGTATGAAGAGTGCCTTAAATGTAACCCAAAGGAGACAGGTAACACTTGTCATGTCTCATGTTAAACCTGGGAGACAGACACAGCAGAAGAGAACCAGAGCTTGCCTATGTCTCCCCACTCATAGTCCAAAAACTAATTGTATAATTTGATAAAAATAATACAATTTATTAATAATTTTCTCATTTTCAACTTCTGTTCTTGGCTGGATGAACGGAAAAACGGATAGTTAAAACATTATTACTATGGGCATAGAAGTCCTCCTTAATTGAAAAAAACCTCACAAACAAAATAAAAACCAAAACAAAACCCAGTATAATCTCAACTGCCAAAAGCAGTAGCCAGGTTCCCTTTTAATGTTCAGGATATTTGGCTAACATTCTCTAACTGTTTTTAGAGCACTACTAATGCTACTTTCAATCCCAGGACAGATTTTCCCCAAAGTCCACAGTCAAGGTGCACAGCTCAGCCATGTTTATTTTTTGTGGTTGCTTCTCCACTGACTCACTTTTGGCTGACACTGGCAATGGTAGTGCAGAAACAAAACATGGAAGATGGATGAGGGTGGCCAAACACCTACTTCCTGGCACAGGAGGTAAGCATTTACAGAGTGGGAATAACATTCAGGCTATGTTAACTCTCATAGTGAAATTCCCAACAATGCTTTAGCTCAAGAAGTTGGGGCTGATGCTTTGTGACTTCAAGGGCTGAAGTTCAAGCCCTGTCACACCAGCAAGTGACACAGGAAGGCCTGTGTACTTCAGTGGGGCTTCACTTTGGTTTGCTGACGGCTTCTTGGGAACAGACTATTATTCACATTGAACAGTACTGCACTGCACACAAAAACCAAAAAAAAGTTGGCTATGCAGCAAAAGGAAGGTACTTAGAGTGCTTGTCGTGTGGAGTAACTAACTCAGACTTTCATTCGCTAGTTTACACTTCAGGGGTAACACCCCCATGGAGAACATGTATTATTGAAACTCAATACCATGCAGACCAGTTATAGTTTGAAACTTATCATCCTAGCCTTGGGCTTCAGAGAAAAAGTTATTTGAGTTTTCCTGACTAAAAAATATATATTATGAGATTTTTTTAATATGTTTTTTAATTAACTCCTCCTTTGTGCTTTCACAGCTACACTAAATCATTCCAATTACAATTTTTTTTCAATATCAAGCCAAGAAAATGTGATTATGAAGTTTCAGAAATCATACCTTCCTCTCAGAGTTTAACGCTGCTTTTGATTTGTGGACCTGAAAAAATCTATAGCAGAGGTACAGTCCCCCTGGGAAATGTCAAATGCTGTAGCCCACATGACCTTGCTACTATGAAGTGCTGTTCAACAGCAATTTGCTGATTTCAGTCTAGGCTGTTGTGATCCCATCTGCCTCATTCTCCTCCCTCCAGTCCTTCTCAAGCATATGTACCTGTCCACCTCATGGCCAGTCCCAGTGTTCACATAATTGTGTCAGATTGTCCCAACAGTTAGCCTGGCTGAAATGTAATTATGTTTTTCTGTTGGGTCATTTTTAGGCCGTGTCTCTGAACTACACAAGCAGCATTGCCGCTACAAAAAAACAGTCACAGCCCGGGTTTATATCAAACGAAGTTACCCTAGAACTGCACAATCACCTTTTATGGACTCCAGGAATCTATGAGCCATGGATTAAAAACATTGTTCTAAAGGCCATATTCCCATGATGGATAACACAGACCTATCTATTCCTTCAAGTTAACCAAAGGATCTTTTGAAAATGATTACTCAGAGTATCTTAAGAAATCAGGATATTGTCAGTCTCAGACTGCTGGGAATAGAAGAAGGGCAGTAAAACAAGTACAACTTACACATTAGTAGTGAAGACACCATAGATCAGATCTTGCTCAGGTAGGTAGAAGGTGCTTTGCAATTCATTATAGTAGAAAGGGATTTCTCCAGCACGGGAGCAGTTCAGCCTGGCCTTCATGAAAGTTGTCCATGTGTCCTCCAGCAAAAATCTTCCTCCAATATCATTTTTGCAAACCCTTGCCACACGAGAATACACTGTTTTCCCACAGTCATGTTCTACCGCATTCTCACGGAAGAAGAAGTAGGTGAACAAACCAATGTCATAGGCAGCAATAAAGTTAGGCTCTGAAAAAAAGAAAACCAAACCCAACATTTGAAAAGATTTACACCAGTCAGAAATCAGTCCACGCTCACTGACCTGCTCAATGCACTGTGACACAAGCTCCTTTTATTCAGGCTGTCAAAACAGGGACCAGAGGGAGTTTGGAGTCAGCGGAGGACATAAAAACAGTAGATGGAAATAATGATGTATGGTGATACAGCTCTAGTTCCATACTTCAGATCTTGGACAGACCTCACTGTTTCCCAGCTTTATTGGCAAAGTCGCTACTGATTTCGGTGTTCAGCACTTTGCATATGCATTACTATTCTCTGTACCTATACTCATTTTACAACACAAAGCTTAAGCCTTCCCATTGGGTTCCTTCACCTATTCACTTCTAAAGTGCACCTTACGATGTGTTAAATATGCTGTGCACATCCATTGGATTCCCTAGATTGCTCACTGAAACATTCAACCTGCTCTCCCAGCACAATCACATCTGGCTTTTATCACGAAGTCTTTCCAGTTTCTAGGCACAAAAGATTATCTTATGTCCATAAAACAAAACTGTGCCACAGACCGACAGTACTGAAAACAAGCTCTCTTTAATTATTTTTCTCCTAGAACTATTGTTATTATTTTCACACAAATTGAAAAGAACCTGGAATTGGTTTTGTAGTGAATATTTTAATTAGGTATTTTACAAAGCTTTAAAGTGTACAGTCTTTTATCCCAGCAGTTTCTTTGGCAAAAGGAAAAGATCAGCCAATGAATAATATTTGACTAAACACACAAAAAAAAAAAAAACAAAAAAACCCAAAACCAAACCTGCTGGTTTTATAGGGTACTTTTTAAATGTTCATTCCTGAGAAATGCTCAAAGGAAGAAGAAAAAAAGAAAGTTCAGAATTCCTTTAATGCTGCAGCCCAGGAGTGAAAGGAGAGCAGAGCCACGGCAGAGGGAGAGGAAGGCAGGCTGGTGCTGCTGCAAGGCAGGTTTGGGAGGCAGATGATGGTACAGAGGGGAGGGCACTGCAAAGCATCTCCCATCAAACCTTCCTCTTCAAACAGTAAACCTTAAAGGGGCCGTTGTGATCACCATCTGACCTTCTAACACACACCAGAGAATTTCACCCTGCAATTCCACCATCGGATCCTGTGACTAACAGGTGAATTGGACCAAACTAAATACAACTGCACAATGCCACATTCCTTTACATCCATCACTTTCCTCAGTGACTTGTTCAAATGACTAAAGACTGCCCCAGCAGCAACCTGTACTTCTTTTTCCATTTGACATTATCTGGTTTCAGCTTCCAATCACAGACTCTTGTCATGACTTGTCTGCTAGATTAAAGAACTTTATCCTGCCAGAAATCTTCTCTTGAGGTAAGTACTTCCACATCATGAGCAAAACACCTTCTATCTCCTTTTCAGAAAGATAAATAATTTGAGCTCCTTAAGTTTCTCACTGTGAGGCAGGCCTTGCAAGCTTCAAATCACTGCATGGCTCTTCTCTGAATCATCTTCAAGTTTTCTGTTTCTTGTTAAAAAGTGGCCAGAACAGGATGAAATTACTCCAATGTTACCAATGCTGCACAAGGGTATAAATCCAAGAGTCAACGTTAGTTTTTCCAGTCACAGACTAGAAACTCAGTTTCTGTTTGTCTTTCCTTTTACTCCCCTGTTCCAATGTGGATTCCTTCTGAATTCCTCATTCATGCGCAGACAAGAGGCACGAATTTCTAATGAGTGTATATGGGTTATGCTGCTTCTTGGTCCTAATTCAGAGTCTGTCCTGACAGCGTCCTTCATCTAAAACTCCGATCTCCATATTGACTTCAGTATGCCTGCAGAAGCCTACTTCAGTCTTGTTGAGCTGCAGAGAGCGCACAGTCCCACTGCTCTTATCTTTGATTGAAAGGTCCTGAAATCCAGTAGACAGATTCTGAATATCCTGTCAACTTACTTGGGTCAAAGGATAGAGAGGGGACATTGGGGTCTCCATCCCTACAGTCTGCTCAGTCAGAAGGTGTGAACTCGGTTCAGATATCGCTGGTTGAAATTCTATAGCTTGCTTGATACAAGGTATTATCACACTGGGGTAACAGCTGATTTTAGTAACTATAAACCCACAACAGCATAGGTTCACAGGGAACACAACGTGCTCTGAAATTTCTCATCTTTGGACTGATCTTGCACTGAAACCAACCATCTTCAGCTGAGGCAGTGGAAGACTACAGGGTGCTTAACACTGTGCAGAACTAGGTCAACAATATGATGTGATGCTTTGGGTTAATTTTGATCTTCAAATCTTTGAGTATTTTTCTTGTTAAAATGATGTATTTGGTCATCTAACAAGACAAGAGACCCACGTACATGTTAAGTAGCCTGTAAGACTTACTGTCTATATTCTAAATCAACCTCTCTGAAATACTTCCAGGCTATTTTTAGATGTCTTCTAGGCTGCGTTGATTATTGCACCAGAAACCCTTCCCCATTGTTAACTCTGGATCTCAATATCAAATCAGAGAGAAAGATTTACAAGCCTGTCAAGCTGACTTTAATACACCTCTTGCTCAGATATGATGCACATGACTTTACCATTAAGCCATTTGGAGTTGTATTGTGCTGTCCTAAGTGGGGGAACATTTCCAAGACTGCGGTAAATAGCAGGATCCCGACCAGAGAAATCAATTACAGTTGCAGCATAGAGTTCTCCTCGTGATGTAATCACAGCTGTCGAATTATGCCGAGGGTCATATGGGCACCGAGCCACTCCATTAATTCTGTCAATGATTTTGCTAAGATTTCCTACCTGTATTTAAAAGGAGAGAAGAGAATTTAAAGAGCATCTGGCTTTCTTACTCATATAGAGAATTCTGTTTATCCATAAGCACTATGAGCAAAACCCTGATTTTAGAAAAAACAGGCAGCTCTGAGAATGTTATGTCAGTGATGACTGTAAATTGATCTTTTACATCCATCGTTTGCCAATGCAATAAGAATGTAATGTCAGCGATGACTGTAAATTGATCTTTACATCCATCATTTGCCAACGTAAGAACTTGAGTCTGAGCCTCACTATTCCCCATGCTTTGTAAGAAGGGTAATTCCATAGCAAATAAAACCTGTAGGCCCCAACCCACTCAGTGTGATCAGGTGCTCCTGCTGCCAGCACAGGCTTCTAATTCTCCACAGACACCATCTCAATGCATACTGGCATTAAAAAACTATAAAAGTAAACAGTGCTCTGGACCTGCTCCTGCCTCCCTTGAAGCCAAAGGGAGTTTTGCCATTTATTTTAAGGAAACATTTAAGTATTCAACTCAGGAGGTACTCACAGCAAATCTTGTCTATATTGCCCATTTTCAGCAGCATACCAAGGTTTACATAAGTAGCACCTTGCCCAGATCCAGCTCACCCATAACACAAATTTTTTGCTCCCCATCTGCAGATACACCCACTGCCCCAGAGCAGCCCAAAGGGACCCATAGAAGAAAACCAAAATTATTTTAGATCAGCTAAACATATTGGAACATACTCTCTGCAACCACGATGCCTTGCCAAATGCTGCCCCAAAGCATGCATCCAGCCCTATCACTGTGAAAGAGGCAAAACAAACCTGTCGACTGGAACACACTGGTGAAAAGGCATTGGTACCACAGGTAAAAACTTTCTTGCCGTAAACAATCAGCACTCGGACATAGTTCTGGCACTCTTCCTATAGGGAAACAAGAGAAAGAAGTTTTGAAAAGGTGACTGTAGGGTTATTACGATAAAAAAAATAATTACCTCTATTGCATCAGGAATACACTTTCCTTTGCTCTAACTCAGACTGAGGTTTGTTGCATTAAGCAGTGCACAGATGTAGGGAGCAGTGGTCTAAGTGAGCAAGCCAAATTTGCTGTTTATTTCTATAATCATAGCCCTGCACAGTCCCTGCGTAGGATGCTATCCATCAGGTTGACTCTCCATTAGCTACACAAGTGCCTCTTTCTGTTCTCTGCTTAGACTGGAGGAGGAATCCTCCTTTTTTTTTCATGGTGATACTTCTGATCTATTTTTCCCAGTAATGCTGCAGCTTTGAAAATGTTTCCCAGACACAAGCCCCGGTGAAGGACAACAGGTCTGTCTGCACTATAATTCACAACAGTTCCAGCAGGAAAACAGCATGAACTTCTCTTTAATAGACCAGGCTGGTCAGGAGAAGCTTGAACCCGCTGTTGCTTCCTGCCTCCCACAGAGATTGTGTGCTCAGGGTTTTCCATAATAGAAGGAGTTTCTTTCAGACCAGGGCAGTGAGAAACAGCAATTCCCCTCTTCTCAGCTGCACAACCACTTGCTGGTACAAATAGGAAACTCCCTTCACATACCAGTCCCCAAAGGAGTGGGGCCCCTTTCATCCCACCTGGGGTAGGGGTGGTAGCACAGGGTGCAGCTGGCTTTTTTCAGAAGGCCTCCTTCATGTTGTTGGAGAGAGCCACAGTCTCACTCTCTCCCCATAGCCTCATATCCAGAGACCTGTGGACTGCAGATCAGGCTGAGCATCTCCAGGCAGTTAAGCAGTGTGGAAGGAAGATGCCACATAAGGCAGGGACTTTCTAACAGTACACACAGAGAAACAGAGGTGTAAGACTAACGTGCAGCTCCCACAGGCAGTGTAAGCGGCTCAAGAGCCGCCTGCCCCAGGGTTCATCCAAACAGCTCCAAATGAGAGATGTTCAGTGAGGCTGGCACCAGCCTGCCTGCCCTGGGCTCTGGGGCCACCTCAGAGGAAACGATACGAGCAATCACTAATGACTGGCACCCACAAAGCTCCAAGTGAAGAAAGACTATCCTGTGCTACTGTAAACAGAAAAAGAAACTTGCTAAAAAATAGCAACCTCAGCTGGGTTATCCTGGCTGTGTTGCTTTTCTCCCTCCAATAGATCATAATTTGCCACTAAACTGAGCCTACAGTTGCAGACACCGCTTCTCCTTCTGTAAGCAGCCATCACTCTGCGAGCTTCCCTGTCTCATGCTGTTGATCATTTCCCTGAAGATTTCACTTGCAAGATTCAGCAGTGTGAAAAAGCTCCCTGTCATCTGGAAAGGATGAGGCTTGCTTAGCTGGATTATGTGGGATCTTCTTTCATTTGCTGTATGGAAATCAACTCAGTGAAGGATGGCATTTAGCAGAAACCCATCAGTGCTAGCCACAGACAATGACTGCACAGGCATGACATGTGGGGCTTGCTTTAGGATGGGAGAAGATCACCGGGACTGCACTTCAGGGCCAGCCCAGGAGCACTCACCTAGCCCAGGGAACAGGCTGTAGAGCACCACAGAGCAGGTGCTGCCAGTCTTGAGTCTCAGCAGGGCATCAGGGATCAGATACATAATGCCTGGCACCTTAAAATGAGAGCTTAAATTCATAGCTAAGTCAATTCAGAACTTCTTATTTCAGAAGCAGATCAGTCATGGTGACTGTGCATCAGTCTATCAAATAGGACCTTGAGAAGCTCTTTCCCACCTGCCATCTGTTGAGAATAGAGGTCTCACTGTTTCCTTTAATAAGATGAAGGGCTTGCCAGTCCCTCTGCTCAATCCTGTCATTGTTATGTGGTGCTGTGAGCCCTGTTAGTTATTCCCTGCCCTAGAGATGTCTGCATTCATGGGTAGGTTAAGTAATTCCTCTTTCTGTAGAGCACGGTTATTGAATTCCACATAATATTAGGACCATTACATATTTGACTGTAAAGTGATAGAGATTCTTGAGGGGATGCTATTAAAAAAAGGTATGGGCTCCTCTCCCATCAGTGTTTTGTTTTCAGAATATGACTGATTTGGCATCTACCCAGAATACACGTCTCTACCCAAATTTCGCGCAATAAGAGAGTACACATCTGTGCCCCCTCCAGTTCCACCTTTCCCTGCTTTGTGCAGAGTCTGAACAGAGCTTCTGACCTAAACCAGCTAATACCTTTAATATTGCTGGACCCTTTCCTGTTCAGGTCCTTCAAAATATTCCTAACCAAAACCCCGTCCTGCAGAAATCCAAAATGCTGATTTGCAGAATTCTATTGTTTGCACATAACTATATTAAAGATTAACAAGCTTCTATTTCTAGAAAAGCTTCACAGCTGAGAATATAGCACACAAAAGAAGAATTTTTCTGCTAGGTAATGTGCTGGATAGTCTTCTGGAGTCTACCAGCAGTGATCCACCTGTTGTATGCTTTACTCCAAGGCATAGTAGCCTGGCTTAGCAGGGATGCTGGAGGCTGGTAAAATATGGTGTCCTTTAGCCTAATTAAGCACAGTTTTATTTGTACCCACTCAGTCTAAGGCAGAAGTTATTTACTGAAACAGAGGAGAAACCACACTGAGCAAATACATCGGCTGCTGTTTGAACCTGCACCTGAGCATTTAACCTGCAACTTCCATCCCCCTCCCAAAGGTGGTAGCAAAGAGCAGAAGCACAGTCCATACGGATGTGGTGTTAGACTAGAAACATTTGAGAACTGATACTTTTAAGAGAACTAGATGCAACAAACTTGCTAATTATTTCATTGGCTGTAAGAGGCAGAAATTCGGGTGACTAGTGGATATTTTCTACTCTGTTTCGAAAAAGATGCTACTAGGCCTGGGCCATATCCTATGTTCCAATGAATAAACTCAATAGGTGTTTTCCCTGGATCTGCCTCAGCGATGATGGTAACTGCTCCCTATGCTCCTGAAGGAAGAGCAGTGATAATATATACATTTTATGCATTGGTCTCAAAACAATCATTCAACTTAATGTTCTGAAACAGATGTACATCATCTGCCCTGTTCTCTCAGCTGGGTGAACCAAACATGCAGGTGCTAAAGGACTTGCCATGGTGATGTACTGAGTCAGAATTGATCCTGAAGGACAGCAATGAGAGACCACTTCCCTCTAACCTGCCTGGCCTGAAGAGGAATACTGTGCTCGTCTTGTATTTCTTATTGCAGTACCCACTGCCGGTCACATCAGTCTATGAAAACCTTCAACAAAAGCAAAGAAGAATCTTAACCACTTAAATGCTCCAGCTTAAATGATTTTTCTCAAAACACTGTTGGTGAGATTTACATTAGATCCTCTTTCTACCCTGTTCTCCAAATAACTAGCAAGAAACACCCTCCTCTCTGTTCTTTAAACCAGTCTGGATTTGCTCTGAAACGTCATTCAACACTCCGCTCTCTGCAACAATTCATAGCTAAGGCAAATGGTTAATAAAATGACCTCAGAAACCCCTACAGAAAATAGGAGCTCTTTAATGCAGTTTCTTCAGTGTGGTAGGAAAACTCTAGGCATACAGGAGGCAAAATTCAAATGGGCTTTAGTATAGCTGGAATATCTGGCAAGCTTGAATCCAGCTCTGTCCAGACGAGTCAATATTTGGATCCTGCTCTCACATTGTGGAGGAGACAGTTAAACCTGTGTATGATCAGTCTGCAGATCTCATCACCAGAAGATATTATCTGGATCAAGAGATTAAGGATTTAAATAAAGGGGGAAGACTGGGTATTTATATGGTTAATGAGAATAACTCAGTTATATTAGTTGGGATTATTATTAAATATATGGCAGAGCTGATAAAAACTTGTGGCTTACCACCAAAGCATGAAGTATATCTCTGATTTTCCTACAAATTGCATATTACCCTCCTTGAGGTTCTTGCTCCTTCCTCAAAATTACCTAGTACTGGTCCCCTTTTTTGAGATAAGGGCTTGAATTGAGCAGGTAGCACTTTTCTTCAGCCTAACAACCCTTGTTTTCCCAGAAAGGCTGAGTACATGACTTGAGTGCTCAACCCTACAGGGCACAAGTTCCCACTGTCACTAAGAGAATGAACTTCACTGGAGCCTGTCCCTCCGACCCCACTCAGCTTAAACCTATCTTCATTTATTTCATTTTTTGCAACATCTAGATTTAAATGTGTCTGTGAATGCTGTAAGGTCCATGACTGCGGACAGAACCATGCGTCTTTCTAGCTCTGAGAGATGTCAGGCTGCTTTGAAAGCACATTTCAAACCTGAGAAGCAAAAGTGGTGCCTTGTTACTCCCTTCATTCGTGTGGACAGATGAGCAAATGGAGGGGCTGAACTCCTGTGGCTTTGGTTTGAAGTAAAATTCAAACAGACGTCTTCAGGATGCTGTGAATAAGGCAGCTGTAGGTGCTTCTTGAGTTGTTTCTTTTGTCATTTCTGAACACTGGAGTTCTGAAATGTTACAAACCCTTAATCTCATCGTACAGATGTACTTTTCTTTGAAAGCATATAAACCATATATAGGCAGTACTTTAATTGCCGTTTTACTTTAAATAAACCACTGCAGCCCTGTCGTCAGTGATCTCCTTTTTAATTCTTTTTTTTAGGCTAACACTATTTGATCACATACTGATATATTTTAATCACAGATTAAAACCAGTTACATGCTGCATGAGTAAATTAGCTGTTTCAGATGGTCTGCCATCCTCAGTAAATAAACACAAACTCCTGGAGTACAACCTGGAGTTCAGAGAATAAGCCAGCAGAATGCCATGTTACACCTTCAAGAACATTTTAGTGTGCAGGGAACATTTAATATATCTGTTGCAGTTCATCACAGTTTGTTAGAAAACAATCAAGACCTAACATGTTCTTGAGTGCTGTTATTCATGTACTTTCAGATACCTATATTTATTCCTTTGGATATATTTGTTCCTTTGGACAAAAA